TGGCGGCAGGCCGTGCGGAGCCGGACGTGGTGGTGGTAAGACGGCGGCAGGCAGTGCCGGCCGCGGTGCTCCTAACCCAAATGAGCACAAACAACCAACAACCTCTGAGCTAATGGCTAGCGCGAAGTTGGTGGCTGCAGCTGCACAGTCCCAATTAGGTGGCGGCGGCGAGGGCAAGCCAAAAGAAGAATTGGACACCGGAAAGCTTGCTGGAGCCGCCGCTGACCTCCTTGCGGCCGCTACCCATTACGGGAAACTAGGAGATGATGGAATCGGTAAGTATATCGGCCAAGCTGAGGATTATCTCCATGGCTACGAGCTTAAGAATGTGAAACCCAACAAAGCTGGTGCTGGTGCTAGTGTTGGATCCAAAAAAAGTACTTCTAGTAATGCGGAGAGCAAGAACTCATCGGAGTCCCTCCCACGGGGCAATGCAAGAGATGATGATGAGCGCGGAGAGCATGCCAGGAAAGAGAAGAAGATACCATCAAAGAAACAATCCGGTGACAATTACGGTCATGATCGTGAGGAAGGTGATGAAGATCATGCTAGAGGTGAGTATGTATATCATGTCGTTGTTATATTAAAAGCTTAAGCGGTTAGATACCTACATTTTATAGTTGATTGTATTATGTTACAATTTTTTTATTCTTTTTTCTTGACCAAACACATAATTATTTTATTTTTGCTTTTTGAGTGATGATGAAATCTTGAAAAGAGGACCTTTGTTTGATCTAAATTGAATGTATAATGATCATATTATTTAATGATATCATGTTACAATAGGCCACGACGAACATATGCCAAAGGGTAAAGAGATGCCTAAGAAACAAGTTGGTGACCGTCATGGACATGAACATGAACGTTCAAAGGAAGGTGATGATCATTCCGGAGATGAGTATGGCGAGCACACAAGGAAAGGTAAGGGAATGCCTAGGAAACAATCTGGTGATCGTGACAACCGTGAACGTTCAAAGGAAGATGATGATCACTCGAGATCTGGACGTGGTGAAAGTAAAGGAATGCCCACGAAAAAATCTGGGGGTCATGGACATGATGAACATTCAGATGAAGATGATAGTCGCTCTGGAGGGGGGTATGGCGATTACATCAAAAAAGCTCAAGGAATGATCAAGAAAAAATCTGGAGATGATGATAATCCAGAGAAAGGTGATGGTGAATCTGGTGGAGGGTATGGCGATTATATCAAAAAAGCTCAAGGATTTCTCAAGAAAAAGTCGGACAACGGTGATGGAAGTCCAAGGGGTGAGGATGGAGATTCTGGAGGTGGGATGGGTGGGGTCATGAAAATGGCTCAAGGTATGTTCAAGAAAGATTCCGACGATCGTGATGGAAATCGTAGCCCCACCAAACATTCTAATGAGGAAGATGGGAACAAAACAGATTATCTTAAGATGGCTGGAAGTTTTTTCAAGTAATAATAATTAAAAAGCATACCCTATTTATGAAATTATACTAGATACGTTATTATTGTTATTGTAATAATAAGAAGTATAGACTAATTGTAACATAGAATATCATGATATGTTGATCAATTCTTTTGTTTTGATTTCTTTCCTAAAGTTTTATTTAGGTTTTTAGCTATAGTTTGATTTGAATTGTAATAATGGTAACATGTACAGTGTGGCTATGAGTTGCCATGCAAATATTAATGTACATGTCAAGTAGTAGAATATATATAATTTTGATTTGATTCAAAAAAAAATTGGCTATAAAAACTTTAAAAGTAACGTGACTTATGTTTCTTTTCGTCCATTTTTAGTTGTCTAATTAATTTGATATACTTTAAAAAAAATAATAGATAAAATGATAATTATAATACGAATATAATAAATTCAATTATGTATTGAAGTCATTTTATAAGTGGGTATTCATCATTTTGCATTTCTAATGAAGTTGTGGTCTACCAATGAAGTTTGTGCTAAGTCTAAATTCTGATATTTACACCATTTTTTCTTATATTGTTTTTTTTTTGGCAACCAATGTATATATTATTATTAACAAAAAAGCCACTTACAAGCTAAAAGCACCATTCCTCCTTACCCCTGCTAAGGAGTGAGTGAGTACAAGGTCTCAAACTAATAGCTCTTTTTGAATCTTTATACATTTCTATCCTTCCCACTATTTCACGAGTGATTTCCTTTACTATGTCAGAATATTGTAAGCTGACTCCTTTAAACTGTTTCCAGTTTCTTGCTTTCCAAATATGGTATACCATAGCCCCCCACAGTGCTGCCACCTACTTCCTTTTTTGTAATTTCTTCCAATTGTTTCTTCTTTATCAGTTCCAATATGTTGTTCAACTCTCTTGTAGGCAGGTTGATTTTTGACCAACTTAGCAGTGCATCTCTCACCTTTGTAGCATATTCACAGTCTACAAACAAGTGTTTATTAGTTTCCATCACTGTATCTTGGCATAAACAACATTTACTGTCATTCACTTGTATCTTCATGTTCAATAACCTTTCTTTTGTGAGCAGTCTTTTTTGTGTTGCTAACCACATAGTAAACCTCTGTTTTGGTAGTGATACAGAGTTCCAGATTAACTCTGCATTTTTCATTTTTTCTCTTTGGCCCAGTAGTGCATGATACCCTCTGGTTATTGAGTATTCTCCACTACATGTGAGATTGAATTTTCCATTTGTATACCAATGCTGCATTTGGTCCTTTAGTGATGTTATTTTCCTCCAATACCAACTGCTGTCAGTTGGGGCTTTATGATTCCAAACAGTTCCTGCTTTGATATACACCCCATGCACCCATTTCACCCATAGAGATTCTTTATTTACAACTATTTGCCATACCAGCTTGCCTACAGATGCAACATTCCATTTCCCACACCCTTTTATATTAAGACCTCCTTGTCTTTTTGGACAGCATACCTTTTCCCAAGACACCAATGAAACTTTCTTTTTTTCACCACTTCTCCCCCACAAATAGTCCCTACATTTCTTGTCCACCTCCTTTACTACACTTTGAGGAAGTATAAATACTGAACCCCAAAAACTGTGAATGGAAAACAACACTGCCAACACAATTTGAAGCCTCCCTGCATAGGAAAGTTGCTTTGCATAAGTGTTTTTAATCCTACTTGTAAGTTTATCCACAAGTTGATGACATTCCATTTTACTCCATCTCTTTGAAGTGAGTGGGAGACCCAAGTACCTTATAGGGAAAGCACCTTTTGTAAATCCAGTTATACTCAACAGTTGCTTTTCAGTTTCTTCAGTCATTCCTGCTAGGAACAAGTTTGACTTCTCCATGTTTGCCACAAGTCCAGTAGTACCACTAAAATGAGTCAAAGCTTCCATGACTCTTTTGACAGAATTTGGTTCTCCTATACAAAAAATCATCAGGTCATCAACAAATATAAGATGAGTCAATTTTTGGCCTTTACACATAGGATGGAATTTGAACTCCTGTAGACAAGCCATGGTCTTAAGTAACCTTGTAAGGTACTCCATGATCAACACAAATAGCAAAGCGGACATAGGGTCTCCTTGCCTCAACCCTCTTTTGCCTTCAAAATATCCATAGCCCTCCCCATTAAGTTTGACAGTGAATTTTGGAGTAGATACACATATCATTATCCACTGGATGAATTTAGTTGGAAAACCAATTTTCTTATATTGTTTTGAGTGAATAATATATTGAAAGACTCGATATATTGAAAGGAACTCAAAACTAAAATCTGGAGCTATTTAAAGGAAATTGAGCTGGTCGAGAATACAAAAAAATTCTACTGCAATATAAATATTGTATAATAACGTATATGAATGAATATACATCATTGATACATAGTTATGCATTGTATATGCATGATTATATATTGCTTATACAAAATTGATACATTACATAGATATACAACCATTTAGATGAAAAGAACTTAACACCAAGTAATCAACCCAACCATAAAATTGTTATGCAACTACAGAAAGTGAATAAATATTTTGTCAGTTTATTTATAGAACTTAGTAATGAAAATATAATCTTCTCTTAATTGTCTACTACCTCACACTTTATTTTTTATCTCAAGGAAGTTCAGTTCCTCAAGAAAGTTTAAGCAAGACTAAAAAGCTATTTTTCCGTCTTTAAATATCACATCATAATATGCTTGCCGCATCATAAGATGACCGTCAAATGATAAATGAATAACGGAAATTCGTCTATTTAAAAAATACGAGTCTATAAAATTGTATGACGGAAAGACATTTTCTGATCCTCTTAGCTGGAAGGTACTTATGATGGTGGTAGTCGGGGTGTGTGCCATGATGAAACAAAGAATCAAAATGTTTTGCATTATTCTTTTTAACCTCTCCACAAAATATATATATACATTACGTAAAATTGAAAGAAATTTAACCGATAATTTATTTGTCCCCACATTTAATGAAGTTTAGCCGTCAAAGTAGATATTAATCAAAATATAGCAAAAATCTATTCTTCAACAAATTCCAAAAATAGCAACACAAGAAAAAATTGTACTCCTACACCTACTATTTTTTCCTAACAAAACAAAAAATAAAAAAAAGTTTTATCAAAATTAAAAATAATTTTTTTTTAATAAAAAAGCATTCCACTTGTCTACCTGGTATCTACAGTATAGTCCCACGTAAAATCTCCTCGCAGTTTTCTCCGAATACAGACGTACAGAAAGAAAGAAAGAAAACGAGAGACCTACACACAAAAAATCCCATTTTTATTTGCTTTGGTCTCTCTTTTTCTTCTCTTTCTGTACAATTTTTTTTGGCAATTTATGAAAATCATCTTTTAATTCAAGTAAGTTCATCTTTTCTTGAATCTTTCATTTCTGATTCTGCAAAAAAAATAAAAAATCTTGTTTTGATGGTTGTTTGATTTCAAGATTGGATTTTTATGAACTTTGTGGATTTGTTGTATTTTGGAATTTTTGTTACATGTGAGATGGATGAATCTGTTTGTGGGGTTGAATTTTTTTGTGGGTATTTTGTGATTGATGTAATGTTTGTTGATTTGCCAAGTATTGTGGAAATTGGAATTCAAGATTCTAGCTTTAACCCCTTTTGGGGGGTTTGGAGCTTTGTTAGTGTGGTTTCTCTTGTTTTATGTTTTTAATTTGAGTTTATAGAGGAAAAGTTTTGATTTTTGAAATTTGCTGGTGTGCCTGTAATGCTATGTGTCTTGTTAATGACTGTTTGAATCAGTTCTTGTCATTGGATTAGTAAATTTTGGGAGTGTGAAATGAACTAGAGTGGTTTAAGGTATCAAATTTAGTCTCTGGTTCCGGAAGGACATGGTTTCAGATCCCATAGCTGTCATTAACAACAACACAGTGTAATCCCACCAGTAGGGTGTGGGGAGGGTGGTGTGTATGCAGGTTTACCCCTACGACTGTCATCATTTGCAAAATTAATGTGCAGTTGTACAAAATTAGATATGATTAGAAATGATCATGTTTGGCAGAATATGCAAGTAGCAAACATAAAGAGTGAAATGAAAGAAGGTCGTTTGTGATGATTATCATGTCCAACATCGACCTCTTAATGCATCGGTGTATAGATGTGAAAGTATGGTGATGGAATGTGTTAAAGGGGATAGGTAATCATCGTAAAATCTTTAAAAAAAAAGTAAATTTTGGTCTAATTTTTGCTAGGAGTCTTTTAGTGTTGTTAGAGATTTGTATGCTAGTAGAATATGTAGAGAATCTAATTGTACATGTCAAATTTCTCGGGTCTGAATGAAGTTCTATAATTGTGAGGAGACATATAATTGACCCTGGCTAACTTGCGATAATGACATCATCATTGTTGTTATAATAAAATGAGCTAGAGTGGCCCAGGTCGCTTTTTCCTCCTTTAAGAGTGTTTCTTCGAGACTGGACTGATTGATGTAGTACCCAAGAGCTGAATCTTTAGTGTCAAGATATCTCCCATTGAGCTATTGCATGGGAGCGGGGGTTTTACCCTTTGCGCACCCAAAGGGTAGCAGCTGCGGGTTTCCCTTGTCATAAAAAAAAAAGATATCTCCCATTGAGTGAAGGATAATCTTGTAGTGAAGGATATATTCTAACTATATACCTGAGGAGTACATTGATGTATGCATATCCAGTAGATTACCACAATTTATGGCAACAACGGTGAAACTAGAACTGAATTATGATTACAAATTATAAGGTAGAAATTTAGAGAATGGTGGTGCTCATTTCTTAGATGAAGACATAACATATGAAATTAAAATAGGATGACTGAATGGAGGATTGCTACAGGAGTGTTATATGGTTAGATGATATCGACCGAAATGAAAGGCAAGTTCTATAGATGTTGTGAACCCATGATGTTTTATAGGAGTTAAGCACTAAAATATCCGTAGGACTATGGTTGTAAGGATTTGAATGTTAAGATGAATGGTTGAATGTGCAGTCAAGAGTATGATTTGACTAGTACCAAAGGTGCAGAAACCAGTAAAAAACTCCTTTTCTGCCAACATAGCAGTCGATAGCCCATCTGCTCATACCATCGAAAGGGTTCGTTTGGAGGAATAAGTTTGACCTTGGTTACAATTTTCACCACTTAGAGGGAAAATAGAGTCCATTTCAGGTATTCTTTTTGGATGGGAGGGGGTCTAGATGCTTTGTTTTTCTAGCAATTTAGAGAATATTAAAAATATTTTTTTCTTGCTGACACATAATGATATGAAGCTATTCATTATTTCTGTTGAAAACTATCTGAGGGGGCTGTGATTGCAGCTTATGAGGCGTGCAAACATCAGCTCTTCTCTTTTTCATAGTTGTTTTCTTAGAGATGGCTGATAAACGTCACATTTTTAAATTCTATATTTCAGGTTCAAAAGAGGTGCTTTAAATTGAACAAAGTGTTTTCTGTCAGATCTTTATTGTACTAGTTTTTCTGTCTCTATGTGGAAATCCATTTCAAATGTCATCACAAGCTTTGGTCAGAAAAAGGATTCTGCTACGCCCAGTCAAACTTGTCACGAGTACTCAGATGACGATGATATTAGCACTGAGGAAGGACTAGAATGCCCAATATGTTGGGAATCATTTAACATTGTTGAGAATGTTCCCTATGTATTGTGGTGTGGCCACTCTCTTTGTAAAAATTGTCTGTTGGGACTTAAATCGGCTTCCGTGAAGATATCCACCCAACAAATCCAGATTCCATTGTTCGTTTCCTGCCCATGGTGTAATTTGTTGACACTTAGATTGTTTTACCAGGGAAATCTCAAGTTTCCTAGCAAGAACTTCTTCCTCCTCTGGATGGTGGAGAGCAGAAATGGTGACAGGATGAAGTCTCCGTCTGCCATATACAGGGATCAATTAATGTGCTCCTCCCCTTGTACTTCAAATACCAGGACCCCGAGTTCTGTCATGAACTGCAGGAGGGCTCATCGTATAGGCTCTTCGGGGTCTGGCACTAGTGGTCCTAGCAATACAAATGATACCCCTACAATGCAAAGGACCCAGTTTTCTCTTCAGAAGTCCCTTGATTTCTTTTTCCGGTTGACATCCAAATTTCCGTTGGTTGTTGTACTTCTTCTGGTTGTTATATTTGTGATACCTTCTAGTGTGGGCATCTTGATTCTATACCTGGTGATCACAATTCTCTTTGGACTTCCATCTTTGCTAGTTATATACTTCGCTTATCCTGCTCTAGATTGGCTGGTGAGAGAGATTACTTCTTGAAGTATTTCTGTTCAATTTGTTTGAGAATTATTTCTTAGAGTTTCGAGGATGTAATACATAGTACTGTTTGCACTAGTAAACAATGTCTCATCAGTTTGATCTTAGCTTTCATATCAAGAGATGGTGTAAATAGTTGTTGGTTTTTGTGGATGTTAAGGTTAATATTCCTTCAAAGTTTGTATCTGCTATTGTTAATGGATGAATGATATCATGGGGTTGCTCTTTCTACTATAACTGTATTGAGATAGATTTATTTCCCTCCGAAGGATTAAAACTTGACATCACTAGTGATTTGTGATAATCTTATGAAAGCTTATACACGGCGAGTATTGTGCCTTAGTATATTTACATGTTTTTCCAACAAATTTAGTTAAAGTTGGATCTACCAATTTACATTTTTTACAGATTTCTTATGAATGGTACTTTTAAAAGCATGAACAAGTTGATGGCATTTTTCCAGTGACTCTGATCTTATTTGCCTTCTCTATCACCTTTAGCTCTTCGTTCTTTCGATGTTGATCTGCTTGTTCTTTGGCCCCTCCTGCAATGCCTTCAATCCTTCCAACCTCATCGTTGAAATGTTTCCTGGCTTTTGCCCTACGCCTGTCTAATTCAGCCTGTAATTTCATTTTTTCATTTGATAATAGTTCAGCCTGTAATTTCATTCAGTATGTACTTGGTAAATAAATGAATTCCAGAAGATCAACTATAAGAAAAATTTCAGATAGAATCAACCTCCACTTTCTCCAAGTCGCGCTTTGCTTTCTTCTTCTTCTTTGTCTCCCAGTCCACAATCTCATTTATGAGCTTCTTGTACCTGAAACTTCTCTTCTTAGTAAAAGGGTAACAAGTAGTTCATAAATAGAACAATGAAATGTTACTGTCAATATGCAGGTATATCACTTTCACTGTCCTTCTCGGAGAAAAGGGTATAAGTGAAGGTTTTCTAGTGTGATGTCAATGGTAAGGCATCAATTTAACAAGGTACCTTATTCTGATCTTCTCCATTTCTTCTTTCTCCCAAATATCTGCCTGAGAATTTCCACTTGCAGGCTTTATTGTATTTGGCGCTTTAGCCATGCCTGGTTGTGATGAAGATTGCCTAGTTGGCGGAACAGCAGGAGCGGAAACAGGAACTTCAGGAGCCTTGGGAGGTCTGATATCGATGCTTTGGTCTGGAAATGTAGATGCTCTCTTCATAGATGGAGCTCTTTTGACCTTTTCAGCAACTTCACTTTCAGGTTTGCTATCTCCAAACGTTGGTGTTTTCTTAATGGATGGAGCTTTTTTGGCCTTTTCAGCAACTTCGCTTTCAGGTTTGCTATCTCCAAACGTTGGCATTTTCCTAAAGGATGGAGCTTTTTTGGCCTTTTCAACAACTTCACTTTCAGGTTTGCTATCTCCAAAAGTTGGTTTCTTTTTAATAGATGGCACAGATTTAACTGGCTCTGGATTGATTGTTGTTGACCTTATTGGATCACTTTTATATGGAAGTTTTGAACTTGATTTTGAAGCTTCATCTGTTACAAGAAAATGCGAAACATGTTAGGATGTAAATAAAATGACTAGTCCTCATTATTTAACTAAGAAATCCAATGGTTCAAACTATTTGTTGAACCTATTTCTTGATTTCCTTATTTATTCATTTCACAATTTTGTAATTCAATTTTTCAATGCCTAAGTGACTGGATAGAAATCACGAGGATGTGTATTTGTTCTGGAATTGGTTATTGAGAGGAAAAGGGTCGATTTTCCTACCCCCAGAGGGAAAGGTATTTTCATTTTGGACCAGTTGTAGGAAAGGAGGGATTCAAACCCCTGACATCATGGTTCGTAGCCACGCCCTCTAATCCTCGTTCCATCTACAGCTCGTTTATTATGATTCTTATGAACAAGAAAGACGAGAAAACATTAGAAATTTCTTCCTACCTGAAAGCTTTTCAGGTTTCTTATCATTATCCTCTGCTTTACTTTTGATCTTTGTCAAAGTTTTATCACCTCCACTATTTGTCCTTCTGTGGTCATATTCGCTCTTTTCTTCAATTGATGTTACAGCAAATGCAGCTGCAGCCACCGCAGCTGGATAGTCAACGCTATCACTGGAATCATAATCACGACTCATTGTCCTTATAAACTGTTTGTGCAACCAGCTAGGTAATCTTTTCGTGTCTGCCAAAACAAAAACTAAATTTTAAGAATGTTCTTGTTTTCCCATGATTTAAATTTTGAGTCTGAGTTACTACCTTTTAAAGGTTGAGTTTTCTGTGGTGGTATTGTTCTATCTCTTGTACTGCTGCTGCTGCTTCCTTTCTCTTCTTCTCCTATACCGGTAAATTTCACCCTAGAACAGTTGTGTTAATTGCAACACGATGAAAAAGTTATTTCTTATGCTAGAATTTGAAGTTGACGGTCGTTACCTCATTTGCTTAAGCATATCCATTCTTTCTTTGTGTAATGGAGCCTTATATTGAAGCTATTTCAAAGATCAGATAAAAAATTCAAACTTTTTATTTGAAGAAGCACAAGAAAAAAGGAAGCTTTTTTGTCAGGTATAAAAGCTTTGTTGCTTTTGAAGGAATTTTAATGACTAAGTTAAGGTATCTTTGCATGTAAGGCTTTGGTTTTGGATCTTCAAACAAAGTTATCAAGCATTCTTTTCTTGTGCTAAATGCTTTGCTTTTTCTTGAAGTGATTCAAATTCCGTTTAAGAGTTGACGTCAAAAACACACCTTAAGTATCCCATTTTGTCGAGTTTCATACTTGTACTATCACCTACTATTTATCAAAGCACACCTCAGTTCAGGTAGGATACTCAGGTATGAAACTCGAAAAACCGCGGTACTTTAGGTATGTCGAGAAAGTTGAAAAAGTAGGAATCTTGAGTTCTTTTCAGGTTATATAGATTCAAATTCCTTAATCAGAAACCAACAGAGGAAATAAAGAAAGCAAAACTGACAATGTAATATAAAGCAACTTTACTAAAACAATAAAATAAACTAAAGTTTAATCTGAAACTTCTAAACATATTGATAAGAAGGACCTAATGTATTTATCCATATCTAAAAACTAAACTAATAAATTAAACTCTGTGAATTCTCTATGCACAAGCAGGAGCCTGGAACCCTCTCAGGGTAGCAAAGACGATAGATTGAGGAGCAACACTGATGGGCAATGTTGGATCAACGAGCTTAGGCTTCATTACCGGGATGTCCAATGAGGAAGTGAGCTTCAACGGAGTTCCATTTAGCAACAAGACATCACTCTGAATGTTTCCATCTTTTGGAGTCAAATGGTACTCTTCTCTTGGATGTATAGACTCAACACTATCAGGATTTGGATTTATATACTCAACAGACGCAACACTTTCAGCGTACATATTCAAGTCATTGACAACAGAGACATCAAAGGTAGTTGACTTATCCATGTTGATTAGTAGAACTGTAATACCCTGAAAGACATAAACAAGGAATTTTCAGAGAAAGTGTATGCAGACCTTACTCCTACCTCGTCGAGGTAGAGAGACTGTTTCTGAAAAAGACCATAGTAAAGTTGAAATCTTTGATAGCGTTGTTGTAACTTACACTTGTCTTTGAGCAATGTGCGTAAGTGCGGATGTAAGGAGAGCCTTCATGAGTAATAGAAAGCACATTCTTTCCCATAAGCTTATGCCATAGAAGAGCACTGCAGATATCATCAAGAAACTTGTAAGATACCTGAACTTTAGTATGAAATAAGGAAATTTTAGATCACGAGAATCGCGTTTTAAGTACCCATAGTAATCTGGATTTGGGACGAAACTTGTTGTGTTGAGAAGACCATAGTTTCCTCCTATTAAAGATTGTCTGCAGTATACCTTATGGTTGAAAGTTGATGTCATTCCCAATTGATCCAAGTACCTACAACAACACCAATACTAACATAAGAACATTTGTTTTACGTGTTATCACGTGTTATCAGGCTTGATATGAAGAGTTACCAGAAACCGTTAACGAAGGTGTGTGAAGTGGTTTTGCCACCACTATTATAAGCTCCACCAGATTCACCAACCCAAGGTCCAGATGATGGGGAAAACAACTTAGCATCATTTTCAACATTCTTAAATGTTTGAGCTATTTGACTTAGGTAAAATGGATTCTGAAGTTTGTCAATCAAAGTTGGATCAACACCTACAATGTACCAATACAAACATTTTCTTAACACAGAGTTTAAATCCTGGATCTGCCTCGGAATGCAACAACACACATTGGTACATACCTGCTCCAAGGTTGTAAATATGATGTGTCAATCCATCGACTATGCCCGGACCGGTTGTTTGAAGGAACTCTTGGAACCATTTTTGATCATAAAATCCACCAGGGGCCAAGATTTTTGGTCTATTAGCAGGGTTAGGATACATATGTGTGACAAGTTTCTTCAATTTCTTAACATCATTACCATATTGATGAGCCTTTATTTTTGCAGCAACTCCACTTCCACAAAGCTCATTACCTATAAAAAATTGATGTTAGTATTTTTTTTTTTTTTTAAAAAACGATTTTTTGCACAAAATTTATTTTTTACCTAACTCATATGAGTCAATTTTGTATCCCTTATTGATAGTGTATTTCATCAATGATTTTGCATTGTAATGATTCCAATCTCCAACCCAAAGAGTTGTATTATTTTCATCTGATGGTATTCTTCCAATTAAAGCATTGAATGAAAATGTTATTGCAGCCCTGCATAAATTTCACAAAAAACAAACAAACTTAGGCTTAGGTGTTACACTAACAAATATAATCTCAACATAAAATCCAGCATAAGTAATATCGTGTTTGATTGATCATAAGTTAGTGTTTATTATCATGCATAACTAATTCTTGAATCGAACAAAATAAAATAAGGCCAAGAATGAAGGGGGGTCACGTTACACCCGTTAGAGGGTCAGGACCCTAGGTGAACGCGGAATGCTTTGTTTACCCTGTTTTGTTGAACATGTCATGCAATTCATCCCATCTATTCATGTGAAGACAGCCATCACTAAATCCAAAAAGTCCATCAGATTTTTTCTCAAAATTTGAGCAATTTTTGGGGTAATTTCCAACTTTGTAGTAAACTTGATCTTGTAATGAACCTCCTATTCTGAGTCTTAGTGGATTGAATGCTGCAAAAAATTAAAATTTAAAAATTAAGATTATAAAATATTATTTAGAAGCAAAAACAAAAAAAAAAGTGTAAATATAACGTATATTTACCAACTTTTTTTTTAGAGAGAATAAAAACAAGATTGGGCATGGAAACTATGAGAACATGCAAGTAAAAGACAATTTTCCATAATTAAATTCCAATTTAAAGCAAAAAACAATAATAGTATTTTGTTTAGCAGTAATACAGAGGAAGATTCAACTTGATGAAGTTCGAGTTATAAGATTCTTATAACTAAACTCATAGTACAATTAAAATTATAACTTTAGATCTATGTTAGAATTTTAATGAATTGTCATACCTAAATCTATATTTCACGTCAAAAATACAGAGTTTAAATGAACTAGGTAGTTTGGAGGCTCTATTTCTTGTTCAAAGAATAAAAAAATTAATATTATTTTCAAATTATGTCAATCTGTATTTATACATATAAAACACACATAATAAAGAAATTAAAGCAATAAACTGTAGTACTAGTACTACTAAGTACTAACCTTTAACAGCGTTTGCAAGAATCCTGTTTTTCAAGTCCTACACAATTCAAAAAAGAAAAATAATAATCAAAATCAATCAATTAAAAAAAATCTCATAATTTTGTTTTCTTCAAAAAATAATTACATAACAATAACATAACCAGAGTAGTCGACCTTACCCTTACATGTGATACCTTACTCCTAACGAAGTAAGGAGGTTGTTTCAAAACTACAAAACTATGAGAGGTAATAAAAATCGAAAAATATTTACCAAATTAAGAAGACCAGCTTTTCCCCACGGACATTGATTATAATCACATTTATTTTCTGGCCACCAATCTAAAGTTGCACATATGAAATTATCATCTGTTTGGGCTATAGATGTGACTCCTTTCACCATAACTTTTAATTCATCTGAATTAGACAAATCAAAAAAACATGATGAAACTAAAAACACCAAACAAAAAAATCTAGTTCTTCTTGAAACCATGATCAATAAAAATAAAAAATTGAGAGAGCAAGAAGAAGAATGTAATAAAAAATTTGAAGTTTGATACGTTTATATAGAAAAAAAAAATATAGTGGCTAAGGATTATGAATCCTAGCTGATTACTACTACAAAAATTAAGTTATGTACTAAAGCTACTATGATTCTTATTAAGAAAAAATATTAATTATTTTTTTTATTCGAGATATTAAGAGTTCAAATTTCGAGATGACTCAACAAAAGATAAATTCCGTCTAATTATTACAAGTAGGATTTGAGTTTATGTAATATACTGACAATGTAAAGAATTATTACACTACCAATAATTTTGACTCGTAATAAAAGGTAATTTATATTATTAAGTATTATAATTGTAAAATCTAAAGATTAAAGTAATAAATCGTTATAGTATAAATAAAGTAAAATAATATAATATCCACTAGCGGTGTAAGAAATTCTTACAATATTAATATATTTTTTCTATTTAATGTCAATTTTAGGTCACCGTATTATTATATTATTATATACGTTTACTATGATGGTATAAAAAATATGTATATTGTGACATTATAAAGTTGAAACCTACTTTAACTATATTATATCTTTCACAAATTTAACTTATCCTTTATGGTCTGAAATTCCTGCTTTATGTTATTTAAATAAAAAAAGGTTTAATTTTGGGATTAAGCAGTATTTAAGATATTAAAAAAAGAAGAAGCAGTATTTAAGACAAACACAACTTCTTCTTTTTTGTATATAATTAAGAGATCGATCTTTTATATTATCCTATCGATTCTAGGAAAGTTATTTCTAATGAGGTTTGGTAAGAAAATAATTGGCATTCCCTCAAAAATAAATTAAAAGATTATCTCAACTATAAATTTCTAACAAGACCAATTTCTGTAGGATGAGGATAATTTTTTTTTAAAATTCCAGAATTCAATTTTAAGTTGAATATTGATTTTTTTTGGAATTTGAAAAACTCCTATTTTCATAATTTTTACTTTAAATTATTCACAAAAATTGAAAGATAATTTCAATTCGTATTCATGTCCAAATATAACTCAAATTTTCAAATACCATTTTCAACTAATCAAAAGAAAAACTAAAATACTTCCTTCTTTTTCCTTTTTTTTTTTTGAATTTTCATAATTTTTATGTCAATACATGCACTAAACGTAATCTTAATTATATTTTAGATGACTGCCTTATTGGATATTTTGGGATAAATTGCATACAAGAATTTTAGACTTCTAAAGTTATTAAATTCTAAATTAAAATTTTATATTTATTCAATAATTTTATAAAATACAAATACAAAGTTATTCGTTCAATCAAATTCATAACTGAAATGCTAGCTTCACCCTTGTCACATGACTAATGCTTCCTATGATCCTCAGAGCATGGTAAAAGCTATTCATTATAATCATGAAAAGTAAAAAAGTGTTTCATGTGAGCTAATTCTTACTCTAAGGTGACAAAGCAATTTCAACTCGCTTAACGTTTATACAGGTTGAGTCATGGTTTGATTATTGAATTGACTCAATGGATTGAATTCAAAATGACTTTTCAAATAAATGGGTCAAAATAAATGAAGTAACGTAACAATTCAATTGAAATCTTACTATGATTTATATAAATTTGGAAACGTTCGTATGAATCATATATACATTCCCAACTAGTACTGTTATATTATGACTATACCACATCATTTGTGTCATCATCGCAATCATTTTAGGACATTTATTCTATATTCATTGTCTCTTTATTTTTGGTCAAATTGAAAAATTGGAAAAGGCTTAAAAATACCCTTAAACTATCGGAAATAACTCAGATTTACCCTTAAACTATATTCTGGCTCAAAATTACCCTTCCCGTCAAAGTATTGGGTCATACTTACTCTTAGAAGACGGAAAAGGCTCAAAAATACCCCTAAACTATCGAAAATAGCTCAGATTTACCCTTAAACTATATTCTGGCTCAAAATTACCCTTCCCGTCAAAGTATTGGGTCATACTTACTCTTAGAAGTATGTTAAGTGCCACGTGGATGCCACGTGGACGCCATATGGATGCCACATAAGCGCCAAACATTTTCCACTTCCACGTAGACTAATAAGATCCCTAATATCTAATTTTCCCCTCATTTCTCTTAAGAGGGGACATTTGAGATATCTCTTTGTAACTTTCCATCCTTGTGGTGGCTAATTCAGTCACCAGAAATGTTTGGCGCTTATGTGGCGTCCATGTGGTGTCCATGTGGCACTTAGCATACTTCTAAGGGTAAGCATGACCCAATACTTTGATGGGAAGGGTAATTTTGAGCCAGAATATAGTTTAAGGGTAAATCTGAGCTATTTCCGATAGTTTAGAGGTATTTTTGAGCTTTTTCCGTTGAAAATAAATGAGTTTTTATTTCTGAATATATTTTCATGGTTTTTTCATTTGGGGAGAAGTGTGGGAATGGTAGGTGGGGATGGTAAAAAAGAAGATGAGGTATACATTTTTTGTAGATATCTTTTAATTTTTTTTCATAGAAGCTAAATGGAGATTGTAATTAGATTAAAATAGTTTGTTACTACGTTAAAAATGATTTTTAGCAGTAGTTAATTAACAACAATAACTTAATTACGGCTATATATGTATTTATGGAGGCAATTACTAGTGACAATTACATTTTAGCACTCTTTGTACATGCCGCTAAAGGCCTACAATGTATAACGACACTGGATTCAATATCAATTAACTTATATTGATAAAGACTTTCACACTCTTTGTTAATGTACACATTTACTTCCGCTAAAACTATTTTAGTTATAGTGCGTAAATATTAGTTTCACTCTAAAACAATATTAGAAACAAATAGACTGTTTTATATTTCGGTTAGTAGTTATATTAACTGAATTTAATACAATCAACCAACCTTATTTACTTGATCATAAAAGACTATTTGCTTTACTTGAGTTGATTGATTGAATGTTCACTCTATGTTGTTTTTCTAATCTTTCAAAGTTTATTTTATTTTACCTAAACTACTTTAGTGGTTATTTTAACTGAATTTATATTTTTTTCGAAGAACATTATGACATGATAAAGTTAAATTATAAAAAAATAGTTAAAACATTAACTTAAAACGTGAACCAATTTTAATTCTAACTCACCATAAAATCGATCCACTAGATCATGATCAAGTGATAAATGCATCAGGCAGATACACGGAATGCATTTATGGGTTTGGAATAGTATATTTTCACCGTTCAACTTTACTTGTCACGTTTTGCTTCTCGAATAAAATAACTTATAAAATCAGTGATAGAGTAGTAAATATTTATTTACCCTTAACCAAATGTTTGGAGTTTGAACCCCTTTAAGTATGATAATGCCTTTACTAGGAAATATTTTATTCTCAATATAAAACTTTCTAATATAAATTCAAATTTAATCGAGCTATAAATATCGGACAGGTTAAAAAGAAAAAGACTTATGAAAACCAAAGTATAGATGTCTGCATAAAAACCAAATCATAAATGTCAATACCTAGGAATCTCATGCAGTGCATGACTTCTTTTCACTGACACATTGATTAATTTCTCTATACATTTTGTCCTTTTTCTTCATGCCACGTAAACCATAATGAGTGGTTTGGCAACAAGTTTGAAGATGCGTTAAATAGGTATTAAATCTCGTAAACATAATATCTCGTTTGATAGCTAATCAGAAGATAAATTATAAGTAATGTGGAAATGTACGTACGTATTAGTTTATGCATGTTACATAACTAATACCAACAAAAAACAATACATTATTATTATTATTATATTATTATCTGCATAACTCTTATCTGCTACCAAACGGCCTCATAAATGAATAACGAATAACAACCATTCATACAACATAAGGAAAAAAACTAAGTCAACAACACAATTGGAAATAATAATAATAAAAGCTTAGAAGTAAGATTAAATTGAAGTTGAATAATACATGTCATGAAGAAACTATATTTACATGACTATATTTAATGTAGCTAGCTAGCTACCACAAAAATTAAATGTAACTCATGGACTTCTCTTGAATAATATCAAATTGATCACATCAATAATAACGTCATCAATATGAGCATATCACGATAGCTAACTAGTTAGCTAATTTCTATGATTCGAATACACATCAATTCTCGAGCCTGTGTTACATTTAAAATCATAACTATTTCCAGACTTGTTTTTGCTGCTTTTATCAGACACAAATACTCTGTTTTTTGCAAAAACAAAAAAGGAAATAGTAATTTTCTTGAATACAAACAAAACAAGAACTAAGAACTTAGTATATAGTAATAACAAAAAAAAATAATTAAAATCTGATTATATAAGCGAATCGATTTCTTCCTTCTTCTTCTTCTTCAAGGATTTCTACTGTGAAATTTAAGAAAAATGACCAAGAATTGAGCTTTCTTGACTTCAAAATGGTGATGCTCTGTTTTTTTAGTTGTGAAGAGGATTGGGACCAGAAGGGACTAATCTCTTTTCCACACCATATCTTGGGTCAATTTCATCCATTGATGAAGACGATGACGATGACGGAGGCGATGGGGGTGGTAGAAATGGTGGACAGTGACGGATTCTTTGGAGTTGATAGCAGATTACAGAAGAATGATGATCTTCTTGATCATGTTTTTTCGTTGAATGGGGAATTGGGATTTTTTGGGTTTGTGATGAAGCCATTGTAGAGAAGGAAAAAAAGATCAAATAAGCAAGAAATATACACTTACATGCCATTCTTGAACTTGAAGAAGATGAAAAAGGTGCTGCTTTCATGGTGATTTTCTGAAATTTTTAGAGTCAAAATTAAGAAACAGAGTATATATATAGGGGAGAGAGGGGGGTGGGGTGGGGTGGGGGGCGTTGTATATGGTGGAGA